GTAGTATAAAACTGGTACCATACTACACTTTAGTCAGTACCAGTTTTATACTACACTCTACTCAGTACCAGTTTTATACTACTCAGTACCAGTTTTATACTACTCAGTACCAGTTTTATACTACACTCTACTCAGTACCAGTTTTATACTACTCTGGTATTCTACAAGGACTATGTTGACGTCTGGTATTCTACAAGGACTATGTTGACGTCTGGTATTCTACAAGGACTATGTTGACGTGTGGTATTCTACAAGGACTATGTTGACGTGTCGTATTCTACAAGGACTATGGTGACGTCTGGTATTCTACAAGGACTATGTTGACGTCTGGTATTCTACAAGGACTATGTTGACGTCTGGTATTCTACAAGGACTATGTTGACGTGTGGTATTCTACAAGGACTATATGTTGACGTCTGGTATTCTACAAGGACTATATGTTGACGTCTGGTATTCTACAAGGACTATGTGATGACATGATATTATACGAGGCCTGTTTATTAACGTGCAGTATTCTAAAAGGAAGTTATAATATCGAACTATAGTTGGACGATATTTTTAGATTACTCATGTCTTTTCTCTGACAAATAGGTTTCGTGTATTTGTTTCCCCGGTTGAGTGTGCAAATTCAAAAACAAACACGCAAAGGGATATATGTGTTGTACAAAACCAGTCAGCGTGTTTAAAAGTTAATCGTTATGTTTGGATACAATGACCGTCGTGAGTCTCGGAGTCTTGACAATTATAATAATCGTTTTTCACTGCATGGACAACTGAGCAGCAGTAGAACGTGGATATACATTATCAGGGCCAGAATGTTACATGTCCATTCCTGTCTTAACGAAATACCCCTTTAATCAAATTCGCCACAGAAGTCGTTGGGACAGGGATGATTATCAATCTATCTACATACGTTATACATTCATGTAATTCAATAATAACATGCGCGATATGTATCAATCATGACAAACGCGCATGGGCACGAGGTAGACAAACTACTTATAAGTGTTGGAGACTCCCCAGAAAGTGACGACTTGTGCGGATCACCATGGTGCTGTGGGTTGTAGCCTCGTTATCTGGAGCAGCGGTTTATACTGTTAGTCATCTGTTGGTTTCTAGGGGAGGAGGTATGTAAGTTTTGACACGTCAACATAGTCCTTGTAGAATACGACACGTCAACATAGTCCTTGTAGAATACCAGACGTCACCATATAGTCCTTGTAGAATATCACACGTCAACATAGTCCTTGTAGAATACCAGACGTCATCATATAGTCCTTGTAGAATACGACACGTCAACATAGTCCTTGTAGAATACCAGACGTCACCATATAGTCCTTGTAGAATATCACACGTCAACATAGTCCTTGTAGAATATCACACGTCAACATAGTCCTTGTAGAATACCAGACGTCATCATATAGTCCTTGTAGAATACCAGACGTCATCATATAGTCCTTGTAGAATACG